ATGCTCAGTTATAGCTCTGCAGGTGCTGTGCTATCCCCAGCACTCTGAATACTCAAGATAATGCCGTCTGGAGGAAGTTATTTGTTGGGACAGGACAGTGTTTTAAACTTTGAAGTTGATAATAAACAAAGTGAAGCAGCTGGAATCTGGCAGAAGAAGAAACAAACCATTCATATCAGCCCATGCTATTAAAGGAATGAGAGCACTGCACTGGAGTTATTTTCACATATGCTTGGAAATTAATTCTTGCTCTGGAAGTTAGCTGCTCCAGTTGTTACGTTAAGAGAGTAGAGGGAGGGATGCTGGGCGGTGGTGGTTGTTTTTAACTTTTAGGAAGTAATATGTAGGTAAATACAGTAATTATGGTTCTGGTTTTATACTGAAACAGTGATACAGGTCCTAATCCTTCAAACCCCTCCCTGTTCATTATCTTGAAGATAGCTCTTTGCACTGACAGGGTATTGGACTGGTTTACCTCTGGGTAGATTAAAAATAGAAGTTCTAATGGATGGACACCGACTTGAAGGAGTTAAAGCACATGGATTTTATTTGGCTCAAAAGTCAGACTTGTTTAGTCTTTTTATTTTGCCAAATATAAAAATTTTAAAAGAAAATTTTAAACATTTTTCTTTGTTCTCCTCGTTGCCATATGGTATTAGTAACCAAAGCTCCCTTCGGTGTGTTTAATTCCTTTTCCATTTGGCACACGATCATGATACACTTGCGTATAGCATGCTCTCCGTGTGACAGGACCTCTTAGAGCAAAACTCCCTTCACAGGTCACCGGATGGTTGACACACCATTAATTTTTATGTTTCTGTTAAAGATCTGGAAATTTAGTACTGTGCATGAATTTGTTATAGATTGCCAAGAACAGGAAAATTCTCTAATTTGAAATCTGATCCTTTCCATCAGTGGGTCACCAAGATGTTTTCAGTCACTGTTGGATTTCTACCAGTCGAGGACCCCTTACACACTTATTAAGTGTCAGATTTCACAGTTTCTATGAATGTATTCTCTTAGATGGTGATAATGAATTTGCAGAACTGCAGGGCACTTCAGGTCACACGTCCCATTTATTGGATTTTAACAAGGAAAATTTTTATAAATATGTCTAAGTACATGATTACAAAATTGTTCTGAGTACTTCCAGAGCCTCTGAAGAGGGGAGAAAAGCTGTGGAGATTTACCTGCCTTCCTGCCCTGCACTGCTTTGTAAAGGGAAGGATTTTCCATTCCATTTTTATGGCATATGGGAAGATTATAAACACCGCTGCAATTTGCATATTTGCGGCAGTGAAGAGCTCAATGTTCAAGAGGAAACCATCTTAGGATGGGTTATGAGCTGTTCTATGATTGAGGGGGAAGAAATAAAACAGAATATCACGTTGTTAAAGAAGGAGCTGGCCAGGGACTATGCAGACATCAGTAAATATGTATGCCAAAAACCATTTCTGTGAGCAAAGAATATAAGCATTTAAACCTGTGTGCTTGTATTTGTGTATTTATTCACATGCCCAACCCTGTGCATGTGTGTGAATGTGCTTTATGCACTGTGCGTGCACGAGGTTGGGTTAAGCAAGAGGCGATAATGGTAAAGCGTGAGAGAGAGTAACTTAGTAGTTGTGTCTTTGGGCCTTTGTAGAGTTTCAGGACTAGCAGCTCCATATCCCGGAAAGTTGCAGAATCTCCCATGTAGCTGAAGTAGGATTTTTTTTTTACAGTTAAAATCCTGAAAAAACAGATTCTTTGTTTTCTGCATGCTCTAACAAAGTCAAATCCTTCAGATTCCTGTCTTTAAAAAAAAAGGAAATGTTTGAGCTTATCATTAAGGATATTTAGATAACTCAGGACATAGTAACTTTTTTGTTGAGCAATTAAATGGAGTTATTCTTTTAATTTTACTGTCCTTTTAGCAATTTATATCGATCATAAAACTCAATTATAGTGCATCTTTAAATTATATTAGAGTATGTGTTAGGAAAAATGCAGGCTAATACGATACTTTCTTTCAGCACCCCAGAATCAAATACTTAAGAAGTTACTACAGAGCCTTTGGATAGGGGAATATTTTTTTTTTCCCCACTCCATTATTATTTTTTTTTTAACAGTCTTGAAAACAGCTGTTGAAACAATGACATCATGGAATGTGACATGATTGTGGAAATTATTAACAAAGTCAAGCTTTGAAAACATCAAACTACATATAGTTTTGGAGAGCTGCTCAAGTGTCTAGGTTGATTTACAAAGTTTCCTTGGGCATTACACATTCATGTCTTTACTGTGTGTCAGCTTCACATCTAACCAAATAAACGCTTTCCTTTCCTTTGGTTCCCCTTCTGAATAACCTATTTTTATCACGCAAACAAGGCTGCAGACTGAGCTCATGAAAGTACTTCTGGAAAAACAAAACACTCGTTGCTTGCACATCTCTGTGGTGTTAAAATAAATGTGCTCTGGAGTAACGTTCAGGAGATGGAGGATTTCTTGTGCGCTCACCTGTTAGGTTTGTTCAGGTCCGTGCCAACCCAAACTTTGGCAACTGTGCTTCGTAGAGAGCTTTGGGCTGAGGGTGACAAAAGCTGTCCAGCTAGCCAGGACAATCTAGTGCAACTATGGACATTGCTTCTTCTGTAGCGCGAAAGCGGCGAGCGGCTGGCATGTTGATTCCCTGGGGACACAAAAAAACCTGCTCTTGTGCTCTTGCTGCCTCCCTGAGGGGCAGGAGGCTCCTTTGGCACAGGTCACTCCATGGGCTGCCTTCACCATCTTTGGCCTCGTCTGTGTTTGACTTCCTTGGTTGTTGGCTGCTGTTCCAGCATGAAAAACACCAGATGAATTTTTATTTTAGCAGTGGGGTTTTGTTGTTTCAATTAGCCATTCGAAGCGTGCTTTGGTACAAGTCAGATGAAAGCAGATTGCTACTGCAGTGACATAGTAGATAATTAACTGGGGTGAAAAAAGCCTAACTTCTTGGTTTTATTGGGAAAATAGTGTTTTAATTACCTAGTCTATCACAAGGAAGGGAGAGTTGTTACAGCTTATTGGAATCAGAACAAACTCCAAGAGAGCCTTTGCTGTTGTACACAGACTCATAGGTTTGTTTTGCCAGTAGCCACTGCACTGAAGATAAATGTCTCAAGGACAATTGAAATCTCAAAATGCTCTTTTTGTACCTTTGTGAACGTTGTACCATTCATCCCATGCCACTTCTCCTGTCTTCCTCCGTTCTATGTCTGTGACCTGATTCATGCCTTGTACCCCTCACTCCATGAATTGATTCAGGACTTGGGGCTGTTGATAGGTGAGAAGCTCAACATGAGCCGGCAGGACGCGCATGCAGCCCAGAAGGCCAACCCTGTCCCAGGGTGCATCAAGATGAGTGTGGCCAGCAGATCAAGAGAGGGGATTTTCCCCCTTTACTCTGCTCTTGTGAGACCCCACCTCAAAAACTGTGTCCAATTCTGGTGTCCCCACCATAAGAGGGACATAGATCTGTTGGAACAAGTTCAGAGGAGGCCACAAGATGATCCAGGGGCTGGAGCACCTCTGCTATGGGGATAGGCTGAGGGAGTTGGGATTGTTCAGTCTTGAAAAGAGAAGACGTGGGGGGGACCTAATAGCTGCCTTCCAATACCTGAAGGGATCCTACAGGAAGGCTGGGGAGGGACTTTTTACAAGAGTGTCCAGCGATAGGACAAGGGGAAATGGGTTTAAGTTGAAGGAGAATAGATTTAGATTAGATCTTAGGAAGAAATTCTTCAGTACGACGGTGGCAAGACTTTGGAATAAATTGCCCAGAGATGTTGTGGCTGCCCCCTCCCTGGAGGCGTTCAAGATCTTGAGTAGCCTGATCTAGTTGAGAGGCGTCCCTGCCCATGACAGGGAGGTTGGATTAGATGATCTCTAAGGTCCCTTCCAACTTAGGCCATTCTATGATTCTATGAAGACAAGATAAATCAATTCTCCTTCCCTTGCCTGAATGCAGTAACTCTTGCCCATGACCCTTCTCCCTTCCCATCTCTAGTATCTGGCTGCAGGTTTTTCAACCCCTCCAGTGGTTCCCAGATGGGGGGTCTTCTCAGCAATCTTTCAGAGTTGCTCAGCAGCCAGTGCTGCTGGAAGCTCTGTGGGATGTGTTCTTCTCCCTTGCAGGGGCTGCTGGCATGGTGGTGGCTGTTCTTTGCAGGGGCTTGTCCCTCTCCCAGGACATCCCGTGTTTGGCAGGGCCGGCTTGCAAGAACGAGAAGTGGCAAGTTGCCATCTTGGGCTTGCAGGAAGATGAACGTGGCTTTGTGAAGTCCTGCAAGCTACACCTCCAGCAGTGAGGCTGTGCGTGTTTTCCCTAGAGTCTGTCAGAGGATGAAAGAAAGGAGATGAATCACATAGGAATAGCAAGAAGGACCCTTAAAGAGTCAGGGAAATGGGTTGGAGAAAGAAAAGAGCTAAACCAACTTCTCGCCTGTGTTTTGGACAGATATTTATAGGGTGTTTTTCCGTAAGATTTGTAAGTTCCGCAAGACTTTTTCTGCAAGACTTGTAGCCAATGGCTTCAATTTTTATTGCTTTGCTTTTGTGATTGTGTATAGATGTGTGATCTTGAAAAACCTGGATGTTTTCTAAGGGTTTGATGCAACCAGAGGTACACATATAGATGGAATTTAGAAATACTGTTAGTCTGCAGTTCTCATTTCATTTCTGTGGAAAACATCAGTGTACATGCTTGAAATTATTCTAGGCTTACTGGAGATTATATATGTACACATGTGTGTGTGGTGTATCTGTATGTAAATACAGCCCAGTCACTATATGCACAGAAATTCACCCCTGTGTTACCTGATAAAGAGAATTCTTATGGCTAAACTGTGCACGCTAAGGGTGTCTGTGTCTTTGTATTTCCATGAGGTGGTGCCATATGGAGATGACTTTGGTACAATTTAGTTATTTGTCATAGACAACAAGTGATGCATTTTGTTCTTCTTTTTTTTTTATTTTATTAGGAGAGGATGCTGCCCCACATTCACATGTTTCTGCGACAAAGGTGCCAGTGAAGCTGCCTTCCATGAACACAGATAACCATACAGAGAGTACGAGCAGTATACGTGGTGATTCGGATTCTTCAGGGCCAGATACATTTTAAAGCTTTTGGCTCTTTATGACGGTCACTGGCTAAAGATTTTGTCACTGGTACATTTCTCTGCCTCGTGTGATAGCATGGGTGTTTCATTAAAATACCAGTCTTTCAGTACTGTTTATTTTCTACTGATTTTCTTTGTAATTCTGTTACGATTATAAATTTAGGCAATGATTCTGTTTGTGAGCATAGCAAATATTTTTAAGCAAAATAAAATGCAATTCTTTCAGGATTGTTGTGTGTTTAAGTTAATAAGGGCCATTTAAATATTTAATGTGTCTACAGATGAACATGGAGGTGGTTGGTATTAAAATCCACGGCGAAAGTCTGTCTCACTGATGGCAAAAAAGAGCTTGGCTCAACATAGTGTCAGTAGTGTCAAAATGTTAAGTCAAAGGGAAATATGTTTGAAACCAAAGTTACTAAGGAAATTGTGTTTCCAGGTGTCTTCAGAGCTTGTTCTTCATTAGAAGACTGCTATCATGACACAGTAATTCAAAAATGTATGTAAAAGAGACCATTAGATTTTGTGATGGTATTATGAGAAATTTATTTTTTCAGAATCACAAGAATTTTTCAGCATTTTGATGTTTATTTCCCTCAGGATTTTTTCACATCTTGAGACATGTCTGAGTGAGAGATTGTGTGGGTAGAGTTATTTGTTTACATTTTTTTAATGTAAATTTCTCCTCCTTGTGAGACAGAGCTGGTTGCTGGAGCCTCACCCTTTCAGAAGCTCGATAATCTCGGGTCACCCTTGCAGGAACTGCTCAATTTTTTTATTGCCTCCATCAGGACAACATGGAGGAGGAAGGTGGAATTGTTTGCTCCAAGCACTATCCAAGTGAAATAAAAAAAAAGAAATTCAGATGTGTTCCAGTAGGAAAACTAGGAAAGGAACTTTTCTCCAAGCAGGGCAAACATAGCTTTTACTCTATTCCTTATCCATTTTGAGGTTTTCGTGGGATGTCTGTGGAAAAGCAGAGAATACTGTGGCACTTCCCAAGTTATGGGGTGTGAAGGTATCTTTCAAGAGCTAGGCAAAAATACTTTTTTTTTTTTTTGGTTGACTTGTATCTTGCTGTGACACCAGGGCATATAACTTCATCTGCACGGCTCCACTGCATTGCTAATGAGAGGCATTTTGTTGTTGCAAATACTCATGACTGTGGACAGTTCCCACTCTTATTTAACTCTTATTTAACTCTTATTTAACTCTTATTTAACTCTTATTTAACTCTTATTTAACTCTTATTTAACTCTTATTTAACTCTTATTTAACTCTTATTTAACTCTTATTTAACTCTTATTTAACTCTTATTTAACTCTTATTTAACTCTTATTTAACTCTTATTTAACTCTTATTTAACTCTTATTTAACTCTTATTTAACTCTTATTTAACTCTTATTTAACTCTTATTTAACTCTTATTTAACTCTTATTTAACTCTTATTTAACTCTTATTTAACTCTTATTTAACTCTTATTTAACTCTTATTTAACTCTTATTTAACTCTTATTTAACTCTTATTTAACTCTTATTTAACTCTTATTTAACTCAGCCTGCACTGATTTCATCTCTCTGTAACAGAGAAAGATTAGAAGTTCCTCTTGGTTTTATTTTGATTTCGTTGACCACAAGATTCAGCGGATTTGCTGCAGAAACTGTAAGGGAAGATGGAAAAAAAAGAGAGCTTCAACCATTTGAGGTCAGTAATATCCAGAGGACTGAACTTTAAAAGGGTGTCTTTTTACCATGTTATAGAGTTGAATTCTTGTCTGTCTTGACAGATGTGTAGAAAACAGGTTTGGGTGGGGGGTAAAAGCAGGCTTCATTCAAAATGCAGCATCACTTTAAAGAGAGAAAAAGTACAAATGAGACAGCTTTACTGGGAGCTGGTTTTCACCATGTGATGCCACGAGCGTTGTCTCCAGCAGTGAAGCTGCTTCTGGATGTTCTTACGCTGTGAGAAGCTGCCAGGAGCAGAGGAGGCTGGGCAAGGTTGTGCTGCTGCTGTGGAACTGTGTTCCAGATCAGACTAGGGACAGGATCAGTGCTTTAAAAAGCATCAGGCTTCTCTGGGAGGGTGGGGATGTTCTTCTACCCTGCCGCAAGTTGCTGCAGGTGGGCATGGAGTTCTTGCACCAGAAAAACCAAGAGGTTAATGAAATGCAGTGGGGAGGGCAAGAGCTTCTTAAACCAGCTCTCATGCTAGAGAAAACCTCTGTGAAGCTGTGTTCCAAATGCTCTATCAATCTGGTAGGGTTTTTTTGGATGATAATGTATAATTTAGGCCCCCTTTGTTGCAGTGTAAATAGCAAATGAGCTGTACTGTTCTCACACCCAGGGCTCTAGGCCTGGATCAGGACTGCGCTTTGTTAAGCAAAGTTGAGTAATCGAATCATGAAGAACAAGCAGGCAGCTGACAAGCTAAGAGAGAGGCAGGAGGCAGCAGATGGGCACAGAGGTAAGGAGGGTGCTCAGGAAAGGATGAGACAGCCCTGGCTGGTGGGAAAGGCAGTTGTCTCATCATAGCAGGAAAATAACTGTGTCAGGTTTTACTGTCTGCAGTGCTGAGCATCTCACATTTTTTTTTTAATTCTCTTCTTTTTTTCTTCTTGGGAACAAATGTGTTTAAGTCAAAGATATTATCATTCACTGAATCCTGAAGAAATTAGTTGTGGTTTTAGGAAAATACCTCAGAAAAGGTCAGTGAAGACCACAGAGTTACATTCTCTCCCAACTCGATGTGACTGATGGATCTTCTTGGAAGCTTCTGGGTTCCTGGCACTGTGCTTCAAAGATCTGCTGCTGGTGGGGATTAGACTGCAGCAGGATAAGCAACTCTTCATCCCCACTGCAACCTCCGCTGTTCCCATTGAAAGAGAATTCTGGAGAGGCGAAGAAAGTGCAAACGTTGCTTTTCTTTTCTCAAACCTTCCCCAAAACAAAGTATTCTGCCACATAAACATAAAGGGACCTCTGTAAATCAGGCATCCTGTGCCTAGATTGTATTACAAGTATTTATATTCCTAGGAAAAGCTAAAGGCTGTGGGGGCAGGGGGGGTATGCTTTAGTTTTAATCAGAGTCTCCATTTTTCCTTTGAAATGGAAAAAAAATACTATCTTCCCAAAATTTATCTATTTCTTACTTTTGGATTCAGTCTTGTATTTCAGATTCCTGTAAATAGTTTTCCGGAGTTTGAAATGGTAAGCACATGTTCTGTGAACACAGCCAAGCCGTGATAAGGAATTTGTCTGTCTGTGTCTCCAAGTTCCATTTTGTTTCTACAGCTTTTATGATTGAAAATGCACATTTCTCCTGGGCACTCACAGAACTGAAACAGCATGATTTGCAAGCTTGCTAAATGGATTTCTTCCAAGCAAGTCATTGGGGTATGTCATCAAAGCTTAACAGCATCAAATAGAATTCCATCCAGGAAAAGTATTAAAAAACCACCTCTATACAGCTTTATTTTTCAGTTAATTCTCAGCAGCAGAGAGGCGGGGGGCGGGTATGAGGGAGTTATTGGATTTCAGGATTGTAGTGTAGAAACCAAAACCCTGGCTTTATTCCTGGTGAAGCTTGCTCATGTCTTACATTAAAAAAGCACTAGATCTAGGGTATTTGCTCATGGATTGGATTTGCAGTGTAGGAAAGTGCAAAACTGAAATGTCAGAAGTGTTTTTATTTGCCAAGCATCTTCTGACTTTGGTGGGGAAAATCTGGCAGTTTGGAACTGGGGTGCTGAAAATCAAGGGGTGTTTTTTCCCCTCCTCTTCCGCCTCCCTGAAGAAAAAAGAGGGATGCTGTACAGTGAGGGTGACAGCAGTAAAGAGAATGGGTGCACCTCCAGTTATAAAGATCTGGCATAGGTGGAAATCCCCACTCCTGGGCCAGCCCAGGCTCTTGGGACAGGACAGTTTGTCTGATGCCAGTGTCACCCTTGCCCTGCTCAGCTGAGTTTATCTTGGTTTTCAGTGTAGGAAGTGGAAAATTTCATGTGTGCGCTTAATCTTGTGGGAAATGGGATAAAGTGACTTTTCTGTTATTCCTGTTCACCTTCTTGATTCGGAGATGGAAACTGGGAAAACTAGCTGCTAAAAACACGTGCTAAACTTCCAAGGTCTTTTACAAATCGCTACAGGATAATGTTTCTGTCCTGACTGGGTAAAGATGTATGTGCCAACCTCCTCCCTGTGAATGAAGGACTCAGATGTTTAAAATTACCCATGTGCAAAAATGTGCTGGATCCCAGTCTGAAATGTAGCTATTTAAGAGCTGGAACCCTGTAGCTGTTTAACAACTCGCTGTTAACACTCGACACAAGAGTTTAAGACAGAAGGGCAAAAGGATTGCTTCTTCAGCCAGATGAGTTTCTTTCTGCCTCTCCAAGGTTGTCCTTTTGACATCTCATTACAGAAACAGGTGAGGGAACTGCAGCAGAAGCGTTTGTCAGAAATGTCAAAAAACGGAAGCGGAAACCTTGCTGTGGTGACGTGACTGTAATAACGCCCTGGGTCTGGCTCCTGCAATGGCAATAATACAAACCCACAACCCTGCACCCACCTCTAGAGCTTTTGTTGTGTTTTGGGTAGAAGGTGAAACCCTCTTTTGCTCTCATCCTCTGCCTTCAGAGGCAAGCGCATGAAGTGCACTCATAGTTTAGGGGTTATTTTTCTTCCTTTATATTTAAGTTAGAAATCAGAAGGTAGGAGAACAGTCAAATCAGAAGTGGTATTGGAAGCCTGTGAAGTGCCTTGCTCATGGAGGAGGATGTTCCCCAACATATCCAGTCCAAGAAAGGGCTGCTTTGGAAAGAAGTGCTTTTTCACCCTCCCTGTAGAGCTTCCTTGGGGCAGAGAAGCGTCATTGTTCTGACCAGACTTCACCCCAAAGGCCTGTAGGTCTTCCAGGCTGATGGGTCTTGCATTGATGCTGTTGAGTACCTTGAAGGATTATGTGAAGACCCTGGAACTGCTTAGGCTAAAGGCCAGTAGGGTTC